TATACTTGCCAAAGTATTGATTAACTAAGGCTTTTCTCTCTGTGTATTTACAATTTACTTGAATTCCTTTCAAGTTTCCAAATTTCTATACACTGGATAGAGAGCAGATTCTCTCTCTGTCCTTTTTTCCTCATGTTTTCTCTTATGTAAATGCTATAGCAATCACGTTATCCCAGTTGAAAAATTTTGATCTATAATTGTCGTGAATGCTATAGCATTCGTTGCGTATGCCGATTAAAATAGGATTTAGCTTATAAACTTTGGAAAATGTATTCAATCAGTTTTCGGATATCACAGCTAATCTTAAAATAAATTTCGTGTAATTTTTTGCTACTCATTTAAATTTTTACTGTTCGCGAACGTGTTAATATGAACAGTCGAACCTGTTTTTATGCAAATTTTTTTTATGCGTTTTCTTTTATACGGTCCCTATTCACAGCACAAAAACAGGTTGACACAATATGCAACAACTGTCAAGTAAGTAAGTAAGTAACTTATCAATATCCAAAATATTTAATGCAATAAAAAAGCAGATTAGATTGGATTTAATGGTGTTAAATAGGGATCGTCGTCTGTTCGGATCTTCAGAAAAATATCATTGTTTTGCAAAATTTTTTTCTTATAACATTATCCAATTAAGCGAGACATCTAGCTATCATTACTTAGTCTTATTTCTTTCAACTCTTGATGCTAGTAGATCCTGACGGGTTCTTCTTTAGTTCTTTGTTTGTAAATTCATTTGCAATTAAAAAATGAAGCATAGCAAGCTATTACATTAAGGGCATCTATGTAGTCACGTACAGTATAAGCATAATAGCCGTGTCACAAAATAAATAAAGAAAGAAAAATGTTTTTCAAACAAAAAATAAATGCAATTTGTAGCTTCTTGCTTAATATCACTAAATCATTGACATAATTTATGGCATTGTTTTATTTTGTCGTTGTTGTTGTAAATGTTGCTGTTAGTGAAACGCTTATGTATAACGACATAGCGTAATGACACTTTGGTCCTGATGATAATGTAATGTAAATATATATATATATATATATATATATATATATAGATAAGTACCATAAATGATAAAGTCGTTGGTAAAAAAGATCGCACAAGTATTTGAACTTTAAAAGCACCCTTCATAACACTTATCAACACATAAACAGAATCTCTCATTTTACATATAACATATGGACGTTGAAAAAAATAACGTCAATTAGGTTCAAATGTCAGCGGATGCTACAGTATATGTCCAAGTTTAGGGCCATGAGAATACAAGGAGCTCAGCAATTCTGGACTTGCAGGGTAGGCAATAAAAATATCGATGATGATAGTCATTAATAGGTAATTTACAATCGCGAGATGAGATTGAAAAGGGATCGTAAAACCTAGTCTGTTTCAATCCAGGCCAAGCGATTAATTCTTCTCTCCATTATCAATAACTGAGATGTTGAAAACGGGAAACTCACGTAAAGCTAAGACATAATCTTGCATCATGACAATACCATTGTTATATGCATCTAGGCTAGGAACTTTTGATATATTCACTATATAATCCGAATTGTGTCTCCTGACCAGCTATCGTTTTTTTTCATTCGCCGAACGACCCTCTTTATGGTGTTAACAAACGAAAAGTAGCGACACACTCACTTGGTTCAGCTTTTTTGCCTAGCATTTCTCAAATAATGGTATAACAATTTTTGCCAAAAGATTATCGAGCAGAGTGCCATTGATTGAGTGGAACAAAGATTATTTGAAATATGGAAAAAATATGATTCAGTTTTGGCGAAAAAGGCCACGAAATTATGCAATCCCCTGGTACTAAGAGAGAGAGGTTGTATTCGAGCTGAGTGATACTAATTTTTAAACTACATTTCATTGCAAGATAGAGTGAAGAAGTCTATATATATATATATATATATATAGAAATCTCGTATATCGTATCGTTCGCTGAGCAAAAACATATGCCGGTTATATAATAGTCTCCGGTCCACATTCCTATAAGTGGCAAATGTAATCTCATAAAGTCCTGCGGTCAAAAAAAAAAAAAAAAATTAAATTTTAAATATTTTCCAACGACTGCATCACGTTTAATACGTTACAACTATTTTTATGGTTTTTTTTTTAATTTTATTTTTATCTCATAGACAAAATCAACGCACAAGAGCGGTTCATTCACTTATCCAATTAATCGCTTGTAGACTCATAGAGTCTACGTACACCGAAAAGCTCATAAACTTGATAGTTTGCAAGTCTTTGATGAATAAGATCCGACAGCTTTCCCTTGGCTACTTATTTAAGTGACATTAACGGACAAAGCAAAAGAAAAATCTTAAGAGATAGCATATTATTATTATTACTACTTTTTGTTTTTGTGTTTGTTTATATGTTGGGATGTGTCGATGAATATTCTAAAAATATTTATAAAAATGATCAAGACAAAATAAATAAAAACTTAATAGTTTTTTTCTTTTTTTTTTTTTTTTTTTTTACAACACAGAGGGTATATTAGGTTTTTTGATTATTTGTAGCGCGAAGATTTAATAAACTATTGGATTGTTGGGAAAGTTATGAAATACGATTTTTTTTAATAGCGGGTAAATATACATTGTTGAATGCAAGATCGAATTCGTTGTATTGTAATCTCTCTCTCTCTCTCTCTCTCTCTCTCTCTCAGCGAGACTTACGAATATCGTACACCTTTAATATCGAAATTGTTGGTATGATATATTATAAACCAATATTGGCGCTGATCTTCCCTCAATACATCTTTTTCATACATATTCAATAATTTTTTCCTTGCTTAAATATCATTGTTCACTTTATCGATAGCAAAAAGCTATTTCCTGCTTTCGACTTCCCACAGGTGATAAAGCATTAATCACAAATCTTTTCAAACAAACAAACAAACTTTGCTATATTACCCCTTAAAGTATATAATGAAGAAACGAAATGACTTTCCGCACATCTAATTATATGTGCCTTCGCAATAACAATGCGTGGCCGAATTAGCTCAGCCATATAACGTATCATCAAATAGGTCTGTGTCTCTGGCATGCATTTATCGCAAGACAGTTGACAGAACCATATCATTTCTAGATGAAACGAAATGTAGCAACATTTTATGACATTCCAACCATCCGTTTAGTGTTGAAGTGAGGCGCTAGTTATGCAACAGTTTTCGCAAAATGTGAATTTCATATGATAAGTAAAAGCACTCACAATTAATATTGGCTTGAAATCACTGAACTGGCGGTCGTTCCAGAAAACGTAACAAAGTTGCGCAAAATCGTCTTGGAAGATTTTAAAATGGTGTTGCATGAGATAAACGAAATCCTAAAAATGCCAAAAGATCCAAATTGATTCATTTTACCAAACTTCACAGTCAAATCGGAAGTCAGTGAGAATAGCGTCAGTAATAGGATAGTGTCATGAAATTTGGGCAGATTTCTTACATTTCATTTAAAAGTTAGTGCTTTTCTGTCAATACTGTTATCGCATAAGTATCAGATCGGAGACTTATTGAGCGATGTTACACATCTGACCTGTTGCTTCCGTACGTCTGTCGACTTGTTCAATTCACTTTTGCAATCTGAGAACTTTATTTCAGCCAACCGACCAAGTACCATAAAAATTTGGAATTTGACAAGAAACCTATGGAGTCAATTTCCTTTTCATATCCGTTTTCATTTCCTTGTTTTGCTGCTTATAAGAATATCTGACAGCCGCCAGCTGTGTTTATATTTATTCGATTTCATTTTTCGCTTTCTTGTTTATTTGTTTGTTTTACATAAAATATTTAAAAAATATTTACGTTAATTACAAATATAAACATATATATGGGAAGCTCACTTCTAATTTAATTAGATTTTGTACAAATTCGTCAATGGCAGTATGTTTGCAAAAGTACGTAAATTATATGGTGTTTGTGAAATTTGTCTGCTTGTTCTTTTTTTTCGCAAAATATGTAGGCAGAAATAGCTACAATAAAATTTACTTGGTTTACTTGATTAAATCGAACCAATCTTTTGCATAGGGTAAAGTGAGTGGTTGATTAGATCACCAAGAGTCAAGAACATTGCGCACTTTTTTCCATATTAATCCTTTTGAGCATCATATGGCTTTTAAATATGATGGAGTTGTACAATTGTACAGGCAAGACCGGTCATTTAAATCTCTGCATTCAATACTTGCACTAAGAAAATAATGAAAAAAGAATATAAACTTTGTATACTCATGTCCACCTATCTTGATATTTGCTGTTGTTTTTCAAGTCTCAGCAAGACATCTTTTAATAATGACAAAATCCTCATAACCATATGAGTATGGGCGGCATAGTACTGGAATGAAGGTGAAAAAAGTAAGAGTAAAAGAAATAGATTGAAAGTTTTGTCATTTCTCCAGACTAAAGACTTTAGTCAATTGAAGGTGAGATGATTTATCTCCAAGCCATGTTAACGGGATAGCTGGCGTCCGCAGCAAATTCGAAAGATCTAATTGCTAATAAGAGTTTCAATGCTGCATATATTGCGCCTGCTGACATGGCTTTTCTGTTTTTTTTTTTTTAATCCCAGTGATATTTAGCCCCATTTTACCAAGAGAGTCGTAAGAAAAATCTGCACAAATACCTCTAGCCTTCTGACATGAAAGGTTGGATTACATACTCAATAATATATATAACTCTGATCGCCGGGAGGAAATAAACAAAGACTTTGTACGTACGCACATAAAAACATTTTATTGTTACACTTTTCAGCTTTGTTTTTCATTTACTTTATATTATATTGTATACGTAATAAATGAAAATAAAAACCATTAATAGCTTAAGAAATTTTAATTACTCACTATTTTAACTATTGATTAAAGTTCAATTCAACCATTGACGAAAAACTTATTATATGCATTATAATTGTTTGAAAGGAAAATTAAAATTACATATGCAAACACTACGCAGTTATAAAATGAATCATTTTTGGCAAGGATGATAAATTCAATTGCAACTTACTTAGGATCTTGTATACGTATTGAAACATCGTCTGTGGAACGTTGTTTTGAACGCATCGGTGTTGATATCACTGTTGAGCCATAAACCCGTATAGCCTCATCGGTTTCCTCCTCAAAGGCATCGTGTATAGAAAAACGTTTCTCTTTACCTTGACGGCCGGCTGAAAAACTATTGCTATTATTATGCATTGCAAACTACTTTTCTCTACAATTTATCCTTATTTATTTATTTATTTTTTGTTTCTTTGTTTTTAATAGCAAAGCCTGCCAAGCAGTATCCAGTCTTTAAAATCGTGTTGCGTTTTGTTGCTATTGCTGCCGTAAATTCTGGGGGGTTTGCGTTGTCGTTGTGGTTGCTGCCGCTGCTGTTATTGTTATTGTTGTTGCGTGACCATACCATAGAAATAGTTTTTTTTTTTTTTTTTTTTTAAAGGTTTTCAACAAATTTCTCCGAATATTTATTGATCTTGTATTTATTTAGCAATATTTCTGCGTACACATCGTATATTTAATTCACACATAATCGTAAGTTAAAATTTTCATAAAAAAATTTTTTCTTTTCTTTCGCTTTAAAATTTCTTTGTAATTTTCACAATCAAAAATTTTGCCAAATTTTTTTTCAGTTGTTTACGTTGTTTAGTTTCAGCTTTTTGCATATATAAAAATACCATTTCTTCAGCCCAATTGTTGATTTGATATACGCGTACGAACTAAAAGAAAAATAATTAATTACTGCCATAGACCGTTTGATCCAACGAATTCAACGATAACAAAAAGGAAGAGAGAGAGAGAGAGAGAGAGAAAGCAAATGAAAAATTTCTGGTAAATAATTTTGTCATTGTGTATAAGGAAACCGAGAGAACCCTGCATATGTAGCGTTGCATTCGCTTTAAGGTTGATATTGAAGCTTATCTTGGTTGTAATATTCACAACGAACTTGAAATGAAACACATTATGTAAATATTTGGACGAAATAATAGAATTCTTCTTGCAAAGCTAATCGATATGGTTAAAACACAAAGAATTGTAAGGGACTAAGGAAATGGTGTCAATTTTAGTTAATTTTCCGTGTTTTTGTTTTATTCCATTTATTTCAAATTTACATGACGGAACATCCGAAAATATCGTTTCG